AAATGATTTCTTCAAATCCTTAAAAATTGGTCTAAAACATTAATTTCTCAATTTGAACTCATATATGGGCCATTTTGAGATGTGGTAAGATTAATTTTGTTCTCTTTACCTCCATCAAGAAATTAGAGAGATGTTTTGATCTAATGTGGGTGTGAGTATCCAGAAAGTCATCAGAGGGGAATGTGGGCTTGTGAGTTGATAGCAAAAGCTGGTTGTTGAGAGTTAGTTGATAATGGAGTAGTGAGAGAGAATTCTGATGTTTCTAAAGGATCTGCTCTGAGATTTGCAGGAACCACACAGACCTTTAGACAGAGGGTAGGAGCCAGAGAAGAGAACAATTTCTTCAGTAGGAAAATAGCCCTCCTACCATCGGCACTGAAACTTGCCCAGCTCTCTCCCACACCACACAAATCCCTCCCTCCCCATCTTCTCCTGCAGGTGCCGCCCTACTCCTCCCTCCCCTTGACTGTTCTTCATACCGATTTATATTCACTTTTTCTACTTCCTCACCTCCCGCTCACTTCTCAGTCCACTGCAGTCTGGCTTCTCGCCCCACTGCTCCACTGAAACATCACTTGTCAAGGTCACCAGTGACTTCCTTACCACTACACCTAATGCACACTTTTCCATCTTTGTCTCACTTGGCCTCAAAGCAGCTATGGATGATCATAACTTCCTCTTGGAAACTCTTTACTAAACTTTCATAATTTAGTAGTCACCTTGATACTGGCCCTGATATCAGTTTCCCTACATTGCACCCAGCATATATGGGGTTAAAACCAAAGCACTCATTCCCTGCTTACTCCCTGGCTCCAGAATCCACTATCTGCCATAGAGACAAATGTCCAAAGACAACCACCTGGATTCCTTATCTCCTCCTCCTCCTCTCTGCAAGTAGTCTCAAGGCCAAACACAGGCTGGTGTAAAAGCTCCAGCTAACAAGGCCACATGCTCCCCCTCCCAACCTAAAGCCCCAAATAAATACCCTTCCTTTTAGCTTTTCAGGGAGTTTGGGATTTCAGCGTTAGCTCTCCTTTCTCCTTGCTCAGTGCTGTGCAATAATAAAATTCCTACTTTTTTCCATTACATCCCGTGTCAGCGATTGGCTTGCTATGCAACGGGTGAGTGAACTCACTTCAGGTTCAATATCATCCTGGTTTTCCTCCTGTGTGTATTCAATTGTAATACATTGTCTTAGATTTTACAAAGGTATCAAATAAAACACTCCCAGTCTGAACTCGCAGGCTTTCTCTGCAGATGCTTTTCTTTCTATGTCCTCCTTCAAAATGAATACCTCTTATTTGCATGGATGCTAATGCTCCTTCACCTGACATGATTTCCATTTTGTTGTTGTTATGGTGAGAACATTAAAGTTCTACTCTCATAGCAGCTTTCAAATATACAACACAGTATTGTTAACTACAGTCACCATGTGTACAACAGATCTCCAGAAAGTTTGTACCCTTTGACCAGCATCTTCCCATTCCCTCCACCTCTCAGTACCTGGCAACCACCGTTCTACTCTGTTTCTATGAGTTCAATGTTTTTAGCTTCCACATATAACTGGGATCACAGAGTATTTGCCTTTCTCAGTATGACATTTTACTTGGTATAAGACCCTTAAGGGCCATCCATGTTGTCACAAAATGGCAGGATTTCCTGATTTTTTATGGCTGAATAATATTCTATATTATATATAAAATATATGATATATATATATATCTATATATATGTAACACAAAAATTAACTCAAAGTTCATTAAGGACTTAAACGTAAGACCTAAAACCATAAAATTTCTATTAAAAAGATAGAGGAAAGGAAAGTTCCTTGACAGCAGTCTTGGCAATGATGTTTTGGATATGACACCAAAAGCACAAGCAACAAAAGAAAAAATCAACAAGTGGTACGAAATCAAAATAAAAACATCTGCACAAAAAAAGAAACTATCAACAGACAGAAAAGGCAACCTATGGAATGAGAGAAAATATTTGCAAACCATATATCTGATAAGGGCTTAATATCCAAAATATATAAAGAACTCATACAATTCAACAGCAGAAAAACAAACAATCTGATTAAAAAATGGGCAAAGTACCTGAATAAAATTTTTCCAAATAATGTATACAAATAGCCAACAAGTACATCAAAAGGTGCTCAGTATCATTTATCATCAGAGAAATGCAAATCAAAACCACAATGAAATGTGACCTCACGCCTGTTGGAATGACTGTTATCAAAAAAAGAAGAGATAATAAATGCTGGCAAGGATGTGGAGAAAAGGGAACTTGGTGTACTGTTGTTGGGAATGTAAATGGGTACAGTCACTATGGAAAACAGTATGGAGGTTCCTCAAAAAATTAAAAATAGAACCAACATATAATCCAGTACTCCCACCTCCAGGGATATCTCCAAAGGAGATGAAATTACTATCTTGAGAGGTGTCTGCACTCCCATGTTCATTGCAGCATTTTTCAAAAAAGTCAAAACATGGAAACAACCTAGGTGTCTATCTCTGGATGAATGGATAAAAAAATGTGAGATGTATATATAGGCAATTTTAAGGCCTTTAGACTTTACTAAAACTCACTGCTTGTGAGGAGCTGAGAAAAAGAAGTGAAGATTAACTGACTTCTGACAGTGGCTCTCTCACTTCTCTCTCTCTCCAAATCCTAAGGGGTGATCCTAGTATAACTCACTCCTGAGAGGGGATGCACATGCTTCTCAGGGCCTGCCTGAACAACCTCCCTGACTGACTCCAGGCCCATCATGGGAATAAAAACCCAGCTATGCCAGGGGGCAAATTTCAAGGAAAAAAACCCCACAAAACAGAAAAGGAACTCAAGATCTTGCTCAAGAGTATGAGCAGAAATAGGTAGCATATACGAGGGTGGGTCCTTAGGAAATTAGACCAGGAAGGATGAATTACTATGTCTGGATAGGGCCAAATTTATCAATACGAGGATACTACCTGTGGACTCAGAAACAGCCCAAGCTGCATTTCATACCAATGAAATATATATTTCTTTAACGGAATCCTGACAAATATTCTTTAAAATGCTCCATATTTGTGATGTGTAGCCATCTTTTGTGGTGACCTGAAGGAATATGTGGTAGTGGCTCTTTGATCATGTAGTCCACTGAAATGAAACAGATGGGCGCCCTACTAAGATACTTTTTAAGATATATATCTAAATATATGAAATTCTGGGTGCCGTGGGCAGAAAACTAACACAAGCCGTCATAACAGGGATTCAGATCCTCTTTCCCAGTCCTTGATATATCCTACTTTATAGACAGGAGGTGTCGGGGAGATTGAGTCCTTTTGACAAAATTCCTCATAACTTAGTCACAAGTATATACAATTAACCATTCCCCAAAAGTCCCCAAGGGAAACGTGTGGCCATATACAAGTCTATCATATATCCTTCAGATTGAGTCTACCATGTATGGTGGTATCATTGGAAGATATGGCTGCTGCAATTAGTCTCGCTTTGGGTGGTTCTAAAATGTGCGGTGAAAAGAAATCTTCCTAGTGGGCAGCATTTAAGGAGGTATATTTAGTTGTTGACTTTGTGAAGAAGAGACATGTCCTGAGTTTAGATTTCTCTTGACTCATGTCCAGTAACTCAATGAGCTGACCAGTAGTAGGGGGCTAGACAAGAACAAGACTGGAAAATTGGTGACAAAAAGGTCTGGAGGAGATGCACGTGGTTGGAATTCTAGGAATAGTTATTGAACGGGGTTTACAAACGCTAAACAGTGGATAGGACCTTAGAGGGAAGAGAACAAGTGAAGTTTGGGTATTTATTCCTTTGGCTCTCTGTGCTGAGCCGTGTGACGGCCATTACAATGTTTCTCTTCCCAAGGCCACAGCTCTCATAAGATTGGTCTTTTCTGCCAGGGTCTGGTAATATTACCTACCCTCATTATAGGCCTGGAGTGATAAAGAATCCCTACCACTACCAGTTACAGGTTGCTTCACGCCGCCACCCACGTTTTTAGAGCTTTGGTAATAGACTCTCAAGTGTCCCATTGTTTCTTGACACTTGACACCTTTCTCTTGAGGGGACCCTGACTAATATATCCCTACAACAACCCTGATCATAAACCCTGATCATGCGGGTAGGGAATTCAATCTCTTTTATTTGAGGTTGCTATCCCAGCATCTAGAATGATGTCTATTGCACAGCAGGTTTTCAATAAATGTTTGTTAAATGAACATATGAACAAATGAACATTATCTCTCCATCAGTGACCTTTATGTTAAAATCTATTATGATTGAATTAATACAGTTTGACCAGCATTTTTGTGCTTTTATTTGTAATTCGTTAAAGTATGACAAATAATTACAAATGTTAGCAAAAAGCAAGCAAACTTGTCGTTATATGCACAGAAATCCAAGATAATTAACATAAAAATTTATTGAAACCATAAGAGAATTCGGCAAGAAACAATGTTAATGTGTAAAAGCCAACAGCTTTCCTATCAAGGTCTACACCTGGAGCCCCTGTCTCCACCCTGAGTAGAACCTCCACCCTGGGCTCCAGGGGCTCTGGGACCCGGCTCAGGGGTTGGTGAATCCGGTGGCTGTAAAGGGTAGAAGCTCCCAGATTGAAAAATTATAATTTAAGAGCTACATAATTCCAATCCTACATATTCAGTCGTCATGCCTTTTTTGTTTCAAAATAAAATTCCCTACTATAATTCCAAAATTTTTTCACACTTATCTATGTAACGGTAATTTTAGTTTTGTCAATATCCCATCTATACTCAAGTTTCCCCAATTTCTCCACAAATAACTTACAAAAAAATGCTATTTCAATCGTGAGCCAATAGAGAACCACCCTTTGCATTTGGCGGCAGAGTTCCAGTTTAACCCTTAACCTCTTGGGGCTCGGGTTCGGGCTCCAGCTCTGGCTCCGAGAGAACATCATTTCCCAGCTTCCTGACCAGCGGGGGCGCTGAAAGAGCGACCTCAACAGTGGCCGCCGAGGCCTACGGGAAACGTAGTCGTGACTCCTTCTGGCTCCCCGCGCGGCGCTCTGGGAAGGGGCTTCCGGGCTCCCTCTGCGCATGTGCAGCCGTAACCCCGCCTCTTCCCTCGTCTTCTGCGGACTCCGCGGGAGCCGTTAGGTGCCCGGAGTCTACTGAGAAAGTAAGGGAGCGCCCGGGGTGAGAGTGACGGGGAGCGCTGGGGGCGGGAGTTCTCGGGTCCCCGCCGTCCCCAGCGCCGTGTGTGCGCCCGGGCGGGCCCTCGGCGGGGGCGGGCGGTGCAGGACCTCGGGCTCCCGGGGCGCAGGTGCGGCGGAGCTCATCAGGAGCGGGGACCATGTGCCCGGCTCTCCTGCAGCCCGACCCGGGAAAAGCCCACGTCGGCGGCGGGAGGCCGCTTAAAACGCGGACGGGGCCCGAGTCTACGGGGCAGCCGAGCTCCGGAGCCGGAAAGGCCCGGTCAGTCCCGGCTCTGTCACCTGTGAGCAGGGGCGACAGAAGGGCCTGGGTCAGCGTGCTCATGTGGACGTGAGATTGATAGCGCCGTCTCACGGCGTCGTTTTGAGGTCCCAGTCATCGTTGTACAGTATTTAGACGAGGGCCGGGTAGGAAGCCCTGGGTAAGGGACAGCTGCTGCCATAGTTGGAAGTCAGTTTGTTGGTGTCGCTGGATTGCCTGATGTGCCCTCACGACCGCTTCCCCAGCAGCCAAGGCTCAGGTCAGTGGCCAGATGTGCTTGGTCGGGAGGTCACAGCGCGGGATTTGGGTTCAAGGGCAGGTGGCTTCCCTTCAGCCTCAGGCTTTGTCTGATGTCACACCTGCCCAGGACTGGCACTGCGCCCTCCCGGCTCTTAGGAACGTGGCCTGTCCCCACATCCCCAGGGATGTAAGGGAAGGGATGTGTCACATGTACCCTGGGGTTTCTAGTGTCTCTTCAGGTCCCTTGGGTCAAACAGAGAGGCCTGGCCCCTTCTGCGCTGACGGGATGTCCTTCAAGTCTGATATTGTAGTGAATTACAAGAGTCAGGCTTTGGCCCCTAAAATGAATTTATTTCCCAGATCCATGTCCCAGTTTCCTTGAACAAAGCAACCCTTGTAAGGCAGGAAGCGGGGGCCTCTGTGCAGGAGTCTTACCTGGAGGAGAGCACGCCTCTGACCTTAGACCTCTCTCCAGAGCTTCAGAGCAGAGACAGAAGAGCCCAGAAAGAGCAAGTCCTAGATTTGCAAGGTCAGAAGCCATTCTGATCCCCATGCCCAGACTGAGCCAGACTTGGTGATGATGCCACCTTCAGGAGCCACCACACCTTGTGACAGTGGGGGGTTTGTTCATCCCTGAGCAGAGCAGGTGAGCTGGGGTGGCCCAGGGGCAGGCTGCTCAGGAAAGGCTACTTTGTTGGGGAGCTTGTGAGGGCGAGGTCCGAGGGACAGGAACAACCAGGCAGAGGGAGGAGGTTCTGGCTCTGGTCCCCTTAAATGGCCCCTGCTCTTTACAGAGGCTGCGCTGCTGTCAGACGTGTCCATCACCACATGTGACATTAATGACATCATCCTGACCTCGCAGGATCCCAGAATAATGATGCTTGAAGGATTTTCCAAAGTCATCTACTTCCAACTCTCTTGAAAACTTTAAAGACATTGGGCCTGAAAGTTTCAGTGACTTGTCCAGGGAAACCCGGTTTATGACAGAAGGAAAACTGCAGTTCCCTCTCAGATAAGTCACCAAAAGCATCTTATCAAAGGGGCCTTCTGAGAAATACATCCCAGCTGAAACGAACAAAAGTTCCTGCCTTCAAGCATCCCATCTCTTTTCTGTGAATTGTCTGTACCAAGAGGTAAATAATATTACTGAGAAAAATAGATAAATGGTACATACTGAGTATTTTTCTGCTAAGTTAATTTTAATGAAAGAATACTGTCCTATCCTTTGGTGTAGTTTAATTCAACTAATCTGTTGGTTTTTTTCTTTGTGTTAGTCAGAAGGACACGTATTATTATTAAATCAATCAAGAAAAGTTTATGTTCACTCAGTAAAAAACTGCAGTTGGTCATTGCAGAGTCACACAAAGACAGGTGGTGCTGCCTGTCCCTGATCCTCCTCGTGCCTTTTCAAGGCCCAGAGGGCCCTCTGTCTGGGGGAGGATGATCCCCAGCTGGGGTGCTGATGTGGGGAGGTGACTCTAGGAGCTGTGGCAGGTCAAATCTCAGGACCCTTGTCTTCCTTCTGTCCCCTCAGCTGAGCCACAGTTCTCTACACTCACCCAGGAGCCACAGAAAGTGAACATCCCTCAGGTGAGCGCTTTCTCCCTTCCCCACTTTGTATTGTAAGGGATTTATAGGTTTAGAAGGATCCATGCATGAAATGGAAAAAGGACAAATGGAAATAGGTCAAGTCAATCTTGAGGGAAAATAAACCCTGTTTGACCGTTAACTGTGATGTTTGTTGTCAGCTTTTGTAGGTGACCTTGTCAGGGTAAGTAGGTTCCCTCCAGGTACCAGTTTGCTGAGATTTCATATTAGTCATGACTGTGCAATGCATTATATTGATTCCCTTTGTGCAGCTATTGAAATAACGCTATAGTTTATTTCCTTCCATCTGTAGATACTGTAAACGGTACAATGGATTTTCTGATATGAACTTGAATTTCTGTATAGACCCTAGTTGCTAAGTTGCTTCTTACATATTTTCCTAGGGCTTTTTGCTGATACTCTATTTAGGATTTTTATTTCTGATCCACAGGTTGGATTAGATTATCACTTTCTAGTTTCTCTGTCCAGTTAGGGTATCAAGGTCATAGTCTCATGAAAGAAAATGGCTCTGCTCTTTTTCTAATAATTTAGATAAAATTGTGTTACATGCAGATTTTGTGAAACTAACCTATAAATTTGGGCCTTATGGAGACTTTTTGCTTGAAGATTTTGATTATTGAATTAATTCCTTAGTCATAAGCCTATACTGCATTTGTATTTTTTTTCTTGGTATGAGTATGGTCATTACATTATCATAGAAAACTGTTCATTTTTATTTATGTTTTTCAATGTATTTTCATGAACTGATTGATAGTATTCTCTTAGGATTTCTGTCCTTTATCTGTTATATCAATAATTTTCTGTTTTGGTCAGCTTTTAAATTTTATTTTAGTATAAATCTGCTAATCAGAAAAGGACAGAATATGTTCTCGTTGGCCCAGTCTGAAACCTAGAATTTCTCGGTCTCAGGGTCTTCGTATTTTGTGCTGGCAGGGGACTCTAAACATCGGGAGTAGAGGAACAGGCCCTTGCCATATTGTGCTCTCTAGCTCTGCACAGCCCACTGTCAGCACCATTGGCTGCCAAGACTATCCTTTCTCCATTGAATTACCTTGGCACCTCTGTGGGAAGTCAACCGGCAATGTATGTATGGTCTGTTTTGGACTCTGTTCACTTCTGATGATCTGTGTTAATCCTTTTGCTAATACTACACTGTCTTGATGAGTCTCTCTTTACGGTAAGTCTTGAAATCAGGTAGTGCAAGTCTTCCAACTTTGTCCTTTTTAAAAATCATTTTGGATATTCTAGGTTCTTTGCTTCTTTATAGAAAGTTTTAAAAATCAGCTTGCCTATCTCAAAAGAGCCTGCTGAGATTTTGGGTTTGATTGCACAGATTCTATAGAATTTGTGGCATAGTTCAATTTGGGGAGAAATTGAATCTTGATCCTGAGTCTTCCGATTCATGGACACAGTATCTCTCTCCATTTAGTTCAGTAATACGGAGGGTTTGGGTTTTTATCCTTTTAAGTCAAAAGGAGTGTTTTAAGTTACAGTTTAAAAGAATAACACTGTCTGCTGTTTGAAGATAGACTCTAGTGGGGCAGTGGTGGAAGCAGGTACAATGTAGGAGGCTATTTCTGTAATCCTAGCAAGAAGTGATGATCACAGGGTGTTAGTTACTTTGAAGTGGTCAGGTTTTAGGTGTAATTGAGGTTAGAGCCAAGAGTTTGAGAGCACACATTTCCTCCCTACAACCTTGCAAATAGAGTGTGCATCAAACTTTGGGTTTTTACCAGTGTGACCTACAACTGATCTCAGTTTAGTTCTCTAAGCTTTGCTTTTCTCGTGAGTAGGTGGGACATCGTTTTTTGTTTTTAGTTCCTGATATTTCTTTGTTGTTGAACTCCTTATCCCTTACCCATTTTCCTATTAATGTGCTGATTTTAATGACTGCATCCGGTATACCCATATAGCACTTTTTCTGTGATGTAAACTGCAGAATTTTCCTACAATGTTTTGTATTTTTGTCTTACTCGTGGGTTTTTTTTGTTTTTTACCATAAAGGCATTTGATTTTTACAATGTCAAATTTAGCAATTTTTATTTTCTGATTCCTGGATTTTCAGTCGTAGTTGGGCATTTCCCACTCTAACATAAGATCATTGTTCTGTATAGTCTTCTAGAATGTGGTGTTATTTCTTGCATTTCGATCTTGAATGCATATTATTTTATCCTGCTCTCTGGTGTGAGAGAGAGATCTAACTGTCCTTTCCCAGGTGGCCTCCAACTATCCCTGTGACATTAGTGTCCATCCTTTCCTCACTCATTTGAATGACGTCACCTGTATTCAGATAGGAAGTTTACTCTGTTAATCGTTCTTCTCACCATACACTTTGTTCCGGGTCTTGCTCGCTTGAAGCTTGGACATCTTTCTGGGCTCTCATCACTGCCTTGCTCCTTCTGCCCACTTCTCTGTTTTCGTTAGATTGTGGGCTACATTGTCCTGTCTTTCTTATGTAATACAGTCTTACCCTGTGTCTTCCAGAGTTTGTTCAAATTTTCGGGTCTTCTGCTGGGACATTTCTCTGTATTCCTTTTCAGTCGTACTTTCATAGTAGGTTTTGTATTATATGTGAGTGTTTTTGGAGGCAGGGGATGTAAGTATGCGTGCTGAGTCTATTCCCTTGAACTAGGGTAATCATTTATGCTTCTAATTCTCTCTTCTTTTAATTTCCAGTGCTCTAATCTTTCTGCTTTCTCTTTCCACCATTTAGAAATTCTTTCTCAGCCTTCATGGCATGTTCATTTTCTGCTTGCCCCTTCAATTTTGCTGTTTCCCTGAATTCTGTGTTTGGTGCCTTTTCTCTCTTCAGTTTCTATATCCTTTGTGAACCAGCCTTTCTTCTCTGATGACTTCAGTTAGCATCTAAATGATTAATGTCTCCGAAATTCTAATTTTCATTTTAGACCTCCCTCTCTGTTCCAAATCGTGTAACAACAGTGAAATAAATAATTCCATCTGTATGTTCCACAGGTGTTTTGAGTGTAAGTAGAAAACATCTGCCTCACTGTGATGCCACCTCTGACTCTTATTTATTCTTCTAATCCCCATGTATGGCATTAGCATCTACCCAGTTGTTTGTGCAGCATCACTGTGTTTAGCTGCACGAGAAAATAATGACCAGATTTTGCTTCTTATAAGGATTAGTTTCTCATTCATTATCTTTGTTGCTTTGTCTTAATATAGGTCCTCTCTTAAATTAAGTCTTTTGTTTTGCTGGTTAAGACCTTGTCCACTATTCATATAGAGCAATGGTTCCTAATAAGGATCAGTTTTGCTCCCCAGGGGACGTTTGGCAATGTTTGGAGATATTTTTGATTGTCATAACTGGGGATGCTACTGGCATCTGATCAGTAGAAGACAAGGATACTGATAAAGATTCTAAAATATACAGGACAGTTTTCCACAAAAATAGCACTATCTGATCCACATTGTCAGTAATGCCAAGTTGAAGAAACCCTGTTCTAGAGCATTGCTCCTGAAATATAAATCTGGTGGTGTGTAATACCTCCCTGAGCTTACATGTCTCTTCTATTGGTTCCATGTTACTCCAGCAAGATCTCCAGGCTGGGGTGTGTATACTCTGCCGAGTGCTCAGCATAATCCGTTGGTGTATGGGAAATATATAGATGAATCCTATTTAGTATAACTTTACCTTAAAAAATTAGGCACTATGCTTTCTCATTATATTAAGTGACAATATATGTGTATAAAATAAAAATATAAATGAATCAGAGCATGAGACTAATTTTTTTTTTCACTAATTATGTATGTATCCACAAAGTATAAGACATAATTAGAACCCCATGCCGGTCATCCTTTACAGCATTTTGTTTTAAATTCTGAACAGTAAACATAGTAAGACGTAGTTTCCAAAAGTATTTTCGATGCCCCTGGTCTGGACCCTCACATTGATTTGAAATGTGCTGTTGCAGGTATCAGTGTCATTCAAGGACGTGAGTGTGGAGTTCCCCAGGAGGAGTGGCAGCAGATGGACTCTGCACAGAGGACCCTGTACAGAGACGTGATGATGCTGGAGAACTACAACCGCCTCGTCTCTGTGGGTGAGCAAACTTCACTCTGTGACTCCCTTTAGACTGCAAATTCTATTTTTTATTTTTTAAATGTTAATCACTTTTGTTGAGGTGTATTTAACATAAAATAAAACTTAGCACTTTGCAGTGTACAAGTGAGTGAGTTTTGAAAAATGATACAGTAGATGACCATCAGCAAAATCATGATTTAGAATAATTCTGTCATCCCAGAAAGATCCTTGGACCCCTTTGCAGTGAGTCCCTTCCCTCTGTCTCTACCTCTCAGACCTTCAGAATACTCAGTAGTCTGCTTTCTATGGCAATGGTTTTGCCTTTTCTAGACTTTCATATAAATGGAATCATAAAGTATAGACTGTCTTTTGTCTGGCTTCTTTGACTCAGCAGAATACTTTTGAGACTCCTGCATGTGTGTGAATCACTAATCTTTCTGTCCTGAGTAGGGTTCCTTTGTGTACATAAAGCACAGTTTGTTATCCTTTCAGTTGTCCACTTGGGGCAATTATAAATAAAGCTACTATGAACATTAAATGCAAGTTTTTGTGTTGATGTGTTTTCATTTCTCTTATGTAAATACCTAGGCGTGGGCTTGCTGGGTCTTCTGGTAAATTTATATGTAACTGTGTGAGAAGCTACCAAATGTGTCCAAGCTGGCTTTACTGTTTTTCATGCCTATGAATAATGAGAGTTCTTATTGCTCTCTGGTTACGAACAGATGCTTTGGTAAGTCTTACTATTTTTAACCGTTCTAGTTGGTGTCTTGTATCTTGTTGAGTTTTGATTTACATTTCCCTGGTGACTGACAGTGCTGAGCCCCTTTTTGTGTGCTTTTTTACTATTCATAATTCGCCTTGAATGAAATGTATGGTCCAATCTTTAGCCCATTTTTTTTAGTTTAGTTTGGTTTTTTGGTCTTACTATTGAGTTGAAAGTTCAGAACTTTATCAAGTATTATGTTTTGCAAACATATTTTATGCATCTCTGGCTTTCCTTTTTAAGAAGAAAATGTTTTCGGTTTTAACGTATACTTTAAAAACTTTTTATATGACATAATTATAGCTTCACAGGAATTGGCACAGCTGTAGTCTTCACAGGTTTCTCCCAACAATTATGTTTTCTATAACCATAATATAGTCTCAACACCAGTAAAGAGACACTGGTACAATGTGTGTAAATGGCTCTGTGCCATTTTATCACGTGTGGAGATTTGTGTAACCACCATCACAATCAAGATACAGAACTATTCTATCACCACAAAGGGTTCTCTTGTGCTGCCTCTTTATAATCATACCTGTTCCTCTGCCACACCTTCTCTAATCCTGCCCACTACGTATCTGCCCTTCATCTCTAATTTTGCCATTTCAGGTTATATAAACGGAATCATACAGTATTTAATGTGAGATTGAGATCCATCTAACTTATAGTGTGTATCAGTCATTTATTCTATTACTGCATAGTGTTCCACTGTGTTACTGTATCATAGTTTGTTTAGCCATTCACCTATTGAAGGATATTTTGGATGTTTCTAATTTTTGGCTATTATAAATAAAACTGCTGTGAACGTCCACATTCAGGTTTTTGTGTAAACATAAATTATTATTTCTCTGGAATAAATACCCAGGGGTGTGATTAGGGTTGTATGTTAAGTATATGTTTTGTTTGTTAAGAAACTTCCGAACTATTTTCCAGAGTGGCAGTACTATTTTGCATTTCCATCACAATTGTATGAGAAATCCAGTTACTTCCTGTCCTTTCTAGTACTTGGTATTATCACTATTTTTTGTATTTGTGGTTGTAATAGGTATATAGTGATATCTCCTCATGGTCTTAATTTGCATTTCCTTAATGGCTAGTGATGTTAAATATCTTTTCATATGTTCCTATGCTGTCTGTATATCCTTTAACAGTAAGATGTCGGTTTATGGCTTTTGTGCATTTTTTTCCATCTTTATTGATGTATAATGACAAGTAAAAATTGTGAATATTTAAGGTGTACATCTTGATGTTTTGATATATGTATACATTGTGAATTAATTGCCACAATTGAGCTAATTAACATATTTATCACCTGACATAGTTATCTTTTTTCTTTGTGGTGAGAACACTTAAGATCTCTTGGCACATTTCAAGAATACAATACGGTATTGTTAACTGTAGTCATATTGCTATACATTAGATCTCCACAGCTTATTCATCTTGCATAACTGAACTCTGTACCCCTTGACCAACATCTCCCCATTCCTCAGCAAACCAGCCCCTGGAAACCACCATTCTTCTCTCTGTTTCTGAGTTTGACTGTTTAAGATTCCTCTGAGATCATGCAATATTTGTCTGTCTGTGTCTTGATTATGTTTTGGCTAACAATATTCCATTGTGTGTATGTATACCATATCTGCTTTAATCCTTCATCCATCGGTGGATATTTAGATTGTTTTTATATCTTGGCTATTGTGAATAATGCTGCAGTGAACATGGGAGTGCAGATAGCTTTTTGAGATCTTGATTTCATTTCCTTTGGATATACACCCAGAAGTAACATTGCTGGATGATAGGGTAGTTTTATTTTTAGTTTTTTCAGGAGCCTTCATACTGTTTTCCAATGGCTCTAACAATTTTCATTCCTATCACAGTATACCAGGGTTCCCTTTTCTCCACATCCTCACTGACACTTGTTGTCTTTGTCTTTTTGATAATCTCCATTTTCTAACAGGTGTGAGGTGGTATCTCGTGGTTTTGATCTGCATTTGCCTGACAATTAGTGATATTGAGCATATTTTCATATACCTGGTGGCCAAAATTGTATGGCTTCTTTTGAAAAATGTCAACTCAGTTCCTTGACTCATTTTTTAATGTGATTGTTTGCTTTTTTGCCATTCAGTTCTATGGCTTCCTTTTCTATGTTGGATATTTACCGCTTATAATAATAATTATAATTTACAAATATTTTGTCCCATCCTGTAAGTTGCCTTTTCACTCTATTGATTGTTTCCTTTGTTGTCCAGAAGCTTTTTAGTCTGATGCAATCTCACTTGTTTATTTTTGGTTTTGTTGCCTGTGCTTTTGGTGTCATATCCAAAAAAACACTGATAAGACTGAAGTCAAGGAGCTTTTTCCCTGTATTTTCTTCTAGGAGTTACCACCAATGACTTCCTTGTAACTAAACCTAATGGACACCCTTCCATCTTTGTTTCACTTGGTTTGACAGTGACTGTGGATGATGATAACTGCCTTTTGGAGATACTCTCTTTACTAAACTTTTATAACTCAGTAGTCTTGTGGTTTCCCTCCTCTGTATATTCAGTTGTAATATATTGTCTTAGATTTTACAAAGGTCCCCAAATCTCAACACTCCCAGACAGAACTTGCAGTGTTTCTCTGCAGATGCTTTTTCTATGTCCTCCAAAATGAGTGCCTCCCATCTGCATGGATGCTAAAGCTAAAGTCTCAAGCAACATCTGTGAATCTCCCCTCTCCTTCAATACCCAATCTCTCATCCCACCACCAACCAGTCAGTCGGTACTGATTGTTACAGTCCCTGAATGGCTGTCTAATATTTCTACTTTTCTGAATCCTTTCTGAAACTACCCTAGTCCAAATAACCAACTAAATAACTGGATGATCTTAATGACCTCGTGGCTCTTAGCCTTAACTTCCTGGTTTGTAAAATGAGTTAGAGATAGAATGAACACCAAGTTTCTTCCTTCTCTATATTCTGTGATTTCGGAATTTAAAACTAAGGAGAGGCTCAGGGCAAAATCAATTCCATTGCTTTAGGAGACCATCTCACTTTCTCTATTGAAATTAGCTCTGGGGGTGACCAAGATTGTGCCTCATATCCTTCCATAGCACTGGTCTTAAGGACAATCCCAGAATCTTCAAGACAACTTATAATAAGACCCTTTATCCTAAGTGGAAATCTTCCTCAGGCCATGTTTTGAGCTGTATAAAATATTTTCAAGTGAGATTGTAATGTTGTAAAAAATTTATCTACCTTATTTTGTTAATTTGTCTGAAAGCTCTAATTCTTGAAAACATGTCATGTGAAAAAAGTCCCATGTAAAGATTTAGTCCATCTTTTTTAACTACCTCTTGAGTGTCTATAAAAAACCCTGCATAACAGGAAGATGTTGATGGAGATCGGGGGGAGTGGCAGTAATGGAGGAGTTTGGTTGATTTTCAGCAGTAGTAAGGTCAAAATAAAAGCGTCATAAAAGAATAGTAAAGGATTTAAGTCAGGGCTTTCTATGGAAAATTAAAAACTATAAGCAGATGTAACAAGTTAACCGACACAGTATAGCAGACTCTACTGGTGAGTTTAATAGGCAGCCATTTTAATGGCAGAGAGTAGATTGCAAAGTGGGGAAAAGTTAGGAAACGTCAAAGGGGCAAGAGGCAGAAAAGTGAGGGGGTCCCTTCCTGCCCTGAGAATTCTTGTGGTTCTGAAGTGTGTTAGCCCAGCTGAGTGAAGACCTAGGGAGGATGTTGTAGATCCTGTAAAAGGGGCATCCATCAGCTGCGGGAAGATGTGCCATCTGTCTCCAGAGCTCATTAGCAGATTGAAAGTGGGACCCTACATTACTCTGATTAGGATTAAATTTCTAATACCAGGGATGGAACTCTCCTCTACATGAGTGGGCATTCACACAAAAACACAGACTCACTTGGTGTGGATAAAACACAAGTAACCGTTAACTGCTGCCTCCCGTCTTCCCAGGACCCAGAGGGAAGGAAAAGGGAGGTTCTCCAGCAAAGTGTGGAGTTAAGGGCTGGAGTTTTCCAGCCAAGCTGAGTGCAGGTCCCACGAATGGGGGAGAAGTGCAAAGCCATCTTTCTGGCAGCCTGAGACCTTGGGAAAACTGAGTCCTTCTAGTCTGGTTAGGGAAGACACAGTACTTCCAAGCCACTGCAGCAGGGCAACAGCAGTGTCACAGATCAGATGAGGATCATGTTACCTCAGGGCCTCCCAAGGAGAGAGCCTTTGTGCTCCTACCATTTCTTGGGATAACTGGTTCCTGGCCTTTTGGAACACACCCAGTCATACCAGGGCTAGGCTACTCAGGAAAAGTAGCTTACCAGTCCCTTTAAAATATGTGACTTAAAGCTATCTACAGTTTTATATTTTAAATAGATTGTTGGAACTTCATTTCAAACTGCTCCCTTGTAAAACTGTTTCAGATAGCTTTAAATCCAAGGAAGTGTCTTTCAAACTCTTTTGACAGCAACTCACAAAAAAAAATGCAGTATTTTTTATCTTAAACCAGTACACACACAACTAGTACAGAAATATTATGTAACTTTCTTTCCCCTTATTACATGTGATGCACTCTAATATGATCTGTTCCATTTTGTTTCATTGTTTTTTAAGTGCTTGTCACAACACCCAGAAGTATTTCATAATCCGTTCATGGCTCAAGACCTGAGGTTTGAAAAACACTCTTCTAAAATTATGGGTTCCAGATATTCTAGCTGGTAGCCTTGTGTGCAAATTTTTTAATGGATCATTAAAATGTATCATCAAAAATCGGTATTTTCTGAAGAATCCTCAGTCCCTGTAGAGAGCACTATCTTGGGAATTCCAATAATAACTCACTAGATGAGTAACCATGGTTTCCTTTGTAGAACTGAGATGTCAGCTCAACACTGAGTACATGTGGCATAAAATCAGAGTTGGAAAAGGAGGACCATCACCAAATGCAATGTATGTTCCTCTGGAAAACCCAAAGCAGCCTAGAGTGAAGTATGGGGAACAAAACAGAAAAAAAAAAATAATGGAGAAAAGGTCAAGCTTGCAACTTCTATTTCCAGGCTTCACAAGGTACACTGGTACTTTCCAACCCTGAGAGACAAGGTGATGTTTAGGATGACTCCACTAATCATGTGGCCTTGAGTATCTCAGCAGATGTCAGTTAAGTCATTTAAAAGGATAACTTAACTTAAATTATTTCATCCTAATTATGAAAAAGTCGTAAATTCAAATAAGCAGGGTAATTTACTTCTATTTTGATTTAAAAAATTTTTCAGTTGCTTGGTTTCTCAGATCAGAGTAAATGGGTAATGGTACCAGTTATATGAATTTGACTCAAATTTAAATACACATATGAGCTGGATTAAAGTTCTTATTTGATATGCACATTAACATTTGTACTAGAGTTTCAGTTGGGAAGAGGGTGGTGTAGGAGGACTCTGAACTCACCTTCTCTCATGGACACAACAAATTTACAACTACTCTTGGAACAGTTACGCCTGAGAGAGAACTGGAAACTGGATAAAAAGTACCCCCACAACAAGGGATCACGCTGTCTCAGTTGGAAGACGCAGAAATTCCTTTCTGGAGAGGAAAAAGCCACATTTTAGCTCTGGCACTCCATGGCTGGAAGCAGTCTTAAGGTATGGAGTTTTCCCTGGAGGAGCAGGGGAATCTGAGCTGGAGAGCTTTAGCACACTAAGTGGCTTTTGAACTCAGTGCACCCAAGATGAGTGTAATAATATCTAACTTTGCTGGCTATTAACAACAATGGGGAATACCCTAGAAAAGCTGTTGAGCAGAAGAGAAAGGAAACCCTCGTCTTAAAGGGCCAATGCACAAATTCACCCATTTCAGAAAGCAACCTAAAATCACTGGAAAGAAAGGCGCACAGTCTTTTAGTGAAAAAAGACTCACTTGATAGGCTCTGGGTGCCTGAGAAGCAGGAGGCAGCTGGAACCACCTCCCCAAGGACTCAGACATTGGCAGCAGAAATTATTGTGACCTAGGACAAGGATGCTGGCACATGCTGGCAGATGCCATTGGAGTTCTTCCCCAGGCCTGTTAGTGCAGGCTTTGGCCTCACCCACTATAGCACCAATTTCACTCTGCTTACAATTCTCTGGATCCTTTCAATGTAAGAACATGTGTTTATTCAATCCTAGAAGTTTTTTTCTGTTCCTTTGATAACCTTTGATTATTGCTTAGTCTGGAAATCTAATCAGATGAATGTTGGACCAGCTTCCATGTCTGCCCGTGATGGAGTAATAAGGACTGAATTTATCTTCTTGCCTTAAACCAGAAAACTGGGCAAGATATGAAATGATGGTTTCTACACATTGGGTAATAGAATTTAGAACTATTATCCCTGAGAAAGATGAAACAAATGGGGTGAGACTTGTGATTGGCCCAGTTTACCACCAGCAGGCAGTTTCCAGGCCATAGTGTAGGGAGGATGTAGTCAAGATTGCCAATGTAGTCATTTGACAATCTTGCTGAGTTGAGGAGATAGAAGTCAGAGTTTGGGGAGGTACCGTTGCCCACCTGTCAGATTATAAATTTTAAAAATTATGACCACACTTTATGTTGATAGGACTGTGGGGAAGCAGGCACCCTCACACATGCTGCTGGGAATGTAAACTGGTAAAACCCTTTTGGAAAGAAACTTGGGCATATTTTAGAAAACCACCTATACACTTACCTTTTGAACCTCCAGCTTACCCAGGGCAGGGACCCTCCCTCTGGGCTATCTCCACCCAATAGGAAGCCATCAGGCAACTTCTGGGTCCATGTAGGTGGGATGTATGGGATCTCTGCAGCTGGGAGTGAGTGTTTCTGCCTGTGTGGCAGGGCGTGTGCAAAGGGCAGGTCATGCACAAGGGATGAGCCTGCACTGGTTGAGTGTGTGGCACCTCTGCAGTAGGGCCAGTGGATCCACTTCAGTGAGGCAGGGCATACGCATGGGACAAGACAGCACTTAGAGGGTGTGTTGGCCTGCAGGTGTTGATGCTTGTCAGTTGCAGCAGACTTGTGCTTCTCAAACAGCCACATAAGGGATTGGCCCCACCTTCCAAAGCCTGAAACAATTGGGTGCAGCCATACCTGGGGCCGACCCCACCCAACTGCAATCCTGAGAGAGCTGACAACAGCCTTGCAGCCTGGAGGCCTGCAGCAATTATAAGTCTCTGAGCCTAGCAATCAGCCATGCTAGGGGCCTACTCCCTTAACCGAAAAAGTGCAGCAGGAATGTGCTATTAGATCTTCCAGCCAATTGTTCTGGGACTCCCCATGCCCAGTAAAGTGCCTGAAGGCTCCATAGCAGCTGCACGTGGCTGAGCATTACAACCAGCCAGCCATGGGGACAGCATAGCTTCTGCATGGATCTGCAGGAAGAGCAACCCTGACACAACAGAAGGGCACATGTAGCCCACACAGGGGACAGTCCTCGAACACTTGGTACTGGTGAGGAGGGGAAAACACATTTCTGGGCTTCATAAGGCATCCTTTACATAAGGACACCAATCCAAGATTGGGAGACATAGCTGATCTACCTAATAAGTAGATGTAAGCACAGAGAAAGAGGCAAAATGAGGAGACAAAGGAAAATGTTCCAAATAAGGGAACAGGACAAATCCTCAGAAAAAGAACTAAAGGTAACAGAGATAAACAGTCTGATAAAGAGTACAAATTAATAGTCATAAGGATACTCACTGATATTGGGAGAAGAATGGATGAACTCACTGAGAACTTCAACAAAAAATTGAAAAATATAAAAAACAACCAATCAGAACTGAAGAATACAATAATGGAAATGAAAAATTCACTAGAGAGCATTTTTAGCAGAGTAGATGATATAGAAGAATGGATCAGCAAGCTGGATGAAAAACTAGAGGAAGTCACCCAAGCTGAACAGAAAAAAAAAGAAAAAGAAAAAGAATGAAGACAGTGTGAGGGACCCCTAGGACAACATCAAGTACACTAACATCCATATTATAGATATCCCAGAAGGACAAGAGATAGAAAGATGAGGAGAGAATCTATTTGAAGAAATAATAGTTGAAAACTTTCCTAACGCAAGGAAAGAAACAGACATCCAGGCATGGGAAGCCATGAAGAGCACCAAACAAGATGAACCCAAAGAGGCCCACTCCAAGAAACATTATAATTAAAATGTCAAGAATTGAAGAGATACCTAAAAGCTGCAAGAGAAAAGGAACAAGTGACATACAAAGGAAACCCCATAAGGCTATCAGCTGACTTCTTGGCAGAAACCTTACAGGCTAGAAGGAAGTGGTGTGATATATTTAAAGTGCTGAAAGGGAAAAACCTATAGCCAAGAAACTCTACCCAGCAAGGTTTTAACTCAGAATGGAAGGAGAGAGGAGTTTTCCAGACAAGCAAAAACTAAAGGAGTTTATCACCAATGACTACCCTTACAAGAAATGCTAAAGGGACTTATGTAAGTGGAAAAGAAAGACCACGAATAGGAATAGGAAAATTATCAAAAAAATCTCCAAAAATCATTGGTAAAGGAAAATATACAGTAAAAGTAGCAGATCAACCACCTATGAAAAGAATATGAAGATCAAGATACAAAAGTACAAAAATTATCAATCTCCATGATAAGTTGGTAATGGACATATATACACAAAAAAGAAGTTAAATATGATATCAAGAACATAAAATGTGGGAGGAGGGGAGTAAAAGAGTATAGCTTTTAGCAAGAGGTCAAACTTGAGACTTTCAACTTTAATATATATAGAGTGCTGTATATGTAGGTTATAATGTATGGACCTCACGATAATCACAAACCAGAAACCTATAATAAATACACAAAAAATTAAGATAAAGGAAACCAAGCATAATACTAAAGAAAGCCATCAAACCGCAACGGAAGAGAGCAAGATAAGAAAGCAACAGAGAAGAACTACTAAAACACCCAGGGAATAAGTAACAAAATGGCAATAAGTACCTACTTTTCAATAGCTATGTTAATGTCAATGAACTAAATGCTTCAATCAAAAGACATAGGGTGGCTGATAGGATGAAAAACAAGACCCATATGTATGCTGCATACAAGAGACACACTTCAGACCTGCAGACACTGGCATACTGAAAGTGAAGGGATGGAAAAAAAAATATTCCACACAAATGACAATGAAAAGAAAGCTGGGGTAGGAATACTTATACCAGACAAAGTAGACTTTAAAACAAAAAGTGTAACAAGAGACAAAGAAAGGTACTACATAATGATAAAGGGAACACCCAGCAAGATGACATAACACTTGTAAATATCTATGCACCCAGCATAGGAGAACCTAAATATATAAAGGAATTATTAACAGATAAAAGGAGAAATAGACAGCAACATAGTAATAATAGGGGATCTTTAACACTACACTTACCTCAATGGATAGATTGTCCAAACAGAGGTCAGTAAGGAAACATTGGCCTTAAATGACACATTAGACCAGATGGACTTAGGAGATGTATACAGAACATTCCATGAAAAACCACAGAATATTCAAATGCGCATGGAACATTTTCCAGGATTGACCACATATTAGGCTCAAAACAAGTCTCAATAAATTTAAGAAGATTGAAATAATAACAAGCATCTTTTCTGACCATAACAGTATTAAACTAGAAATCAACTACTGGTATAAAATTGGAAAACTCACAAATATATGGAGATGCAACAGAATGCTACTGAACATCTATTGAGTCATCAAAGAAATCAAAAAGTATCTGAAGACAAATGCAAATGAAAACATGACGTAATGAAATGATGGGATACAGCAAAAGTGGTTCTATAGGAAGTTTATAGCAATACAGGCCTTCCTCACCAAACAAGAAAAATCTCAAAGAAACAGTCGAACAGTGTGCACTTAAAGGAACTGGAAAAAAAGAACAAAGCCCCAAATCAGTAGAAGGAAGGAAATAATAAAAATCAAAGCAGAAATAAATGAAATAGAAACAAACATTAGGAAAAAAACCTATGAAACAAAGAGCTGGTTCTTTCGAAAAATAAATAAAATTGACAAACCTTTAGCTAGACTAACCAAGAAAGAAAGATAGAAAGCTCAAACAAATAAAATCAGAAATGAAAAAGGAGAAATTACAACAGACACCTCAGAAATACAAAGGATTATAAGAGATTGTTACAAAAAGGTATACGCCAACAAATTGGATAATCTAGAAGAAATGGATGAATTCCTAGAATCATACAACCTTCCAAAACTGAATCAAGAAGAAATAGAGAATTTGAGTAGACCAATCACCAGTAAGGAGATTAAAATAGTAATGAAAAACTTCCAAAAAAATAAAAGTCCAGGACCAGATGGCTTTACTGGTGAATTGTAGCAAACATTCAAAGAAGAATTAATACCTATCCTCAAAATCTTCCAAAAAATTGAAGAGGATGAGAAGATTCCTAACCCCTAATCTGCAAAGCCAACATCATGCTGATACCAAAGCCAGACGAGGACAACACAAAAAAGAAAATTACAAGCCAATATTACTGGTGAACATCAATGTAGAAATGCTCAACAAAATGCTAGCGAACTGAATACAGCAATACATTAAAAAGATCATACACCATGATGAAGTGAGATTTATTCCAGGGATTCAGGGATCGTTCAACAGCTGCAAATCAATCAACGTGATACACAACATCAACAAGATGAAGAATAAAAATTACCTTATCATTTCAATAGACGCAGAGAAAGCATTTGACAACAAGTAGCATGCATTCATGATAAAAACTTTGAATAAAATGGGAGTAGAAGGAAAGTACCTCAACATAATAAAGGACATATATGACAAACCCAGCAAATACCCTTCTCAAAGGAGAAAAACTGAAAGCTATCCCTGTAAGAACAGGAACCAGACAAAGATGCCCACTTTCACCACTCTTATTTAACGCAGCATTGGAGGTTTTAGCCAGAGCAATAAGGCAAGAAAAAGAAAGAAGAGGGATCCAAATTGGAAACAAAGAATTGAAACTCACTATTTGCAGAAAACATGATTTTATATATGGAAAACCCTAAAGAATCCACAAAAAACTTTTAGAAATGATAAATACAGTAAAGTTGCAGGATACAAAATCAGTTGCATTTCTATACACTAACAATAAAGTGGCAGCAGGTGAAATTGAGAATACAGTCCCATTTACAATTGCAACAAAAAGTAAAATACCCAAGAATAAATTTATTGAGGTGAAAGGCTTGTACACTGAAAACAATAAAACATTGTTGAACGAAATTGAAGAAGACACAAAGAGAAAGGTATTCCATGCTCTTGGATTGGAAGAATTAACATAGTTAAAATGCCCATACTTTGTAAAGCAATCCGCAGATTCAATGCAATTCCTATCAAAGTTCCAACAACATTTTTCACAGAAATAGGACAAGCAATCCTAAAATTCATATGGGACAACAGAAGACCCCAAACAGCCAAAAGAATCCTGAGAAAAAAGAACAAACCTGTAGTCACTCACCCTGATTTCATAATATACTACAGTCTATAGTAATGAAAACAGCATGATACTCACACAAAAACAGACATACGGATCAATGGAAGAGAATCAAGAGACTAGAAATAAACCCACGCATTTATGAATAGCTGATTTTTCAACAAGGGAGTCAAGAATATACAGTGGAGAAAGGAAAGTCTCTTCAATAAATGGTTTTGGGAAAACTGGACAAACACATGCAAAATAATGAAGTTATACCATTTTCTTACACTATACAAAAAATTAACTCAAAATGGGTTAAAGACTTCAATGTAAGAACTGAAACGACAAAAATTCTAGAAGAAAACATAGGCAATATGCTCTTCGACATCTGTCTTATCAGCATATTTTCAAATATGTCTGTTCAGGCAAGGAAAACAAAAGAAAAACAAATGGGACTACAGCAAACTAAAAAGCTGCACAGCGAAGGAAACCATCAACAAAATAAGAAGACAACATAACATTTGGGAGAAGATACTTGCAAACCTTGTATCTGATAAGGGGTTAATATCCAAAATATATAACTAATTCATACATCTCAATAGCAACAAAACAACCCAATTAAAAATGAGCAAAAGTGGCTGGCCTGGTGGCGGCAGTGGTTAAGTTTGCACATTCCACTTCAATGGCCCAGGGTTCACCAGTTCAGATCCTGGGTGCAGACCTACACACCACTTGTTAAGCCATGCTGTGGCAGGCATCCCACATATAAAATAGAGGAAGATGGGCACAGATGTTAGCTCAGGGCCAATCTTCTGAGCAAAAAGAGGAGAACTGGTGGCAGATGGTAGCTCAAGTCTAATCTTCCTCAAAGGAAAAACAATTTAAGAATAGAATAGATCTGCCATACAATCCAGCTATTCCACTGGGTATTAATCCAAAGATCCAAAGAACATGACAACACAAATGCATAAAGATATATGTACCTCCATGTCCAATGCAGTATTATTCACAATAGTAAAGACTTGGAAGCAACCTAAGTGCCCATCAAGGGACAAATGGATAAATATTAGTATATATACACAATGGAATACTACTCAGCCATAAAAGATATGAAATCTTGCCATTTGCGACAACACAGATGGATCTTGAGGGTATTATGCTAAGT